GTGGAGCCCATGCTCCCCAGTCCAGCAATGCAGCCAGGGGCTACGTGGTGCTGGAGCAGTGTGGGGGCAGGAAGGCAGAGGGTGGAACAGGGCTGGGCTGTTCGGTCCTTCCAGTTCCCTCCGTGTCCTACTGCCCCTGGCTCCTGACATCTTTGACAAGCAGCCAAGATCAAATAAATATTAATTTACTAAATTTTTTAGGGGCTCCCTGGGCCAGATAGAATAGTCTGGCAGGGCAGATCATATTTTGCCCACCTCTGCTCTAACTCATGGCACTTTCTGTAAAATGCCATGAGTTAGACCAGGGAGTTGGTCTAGCTTCTAGAGATAGAAATGGCAAACTTTACTTACCAGGTCTTGATGTTTGGGACTGTCTTCAGAGCCTTTCAAGCTGTCTGCACCTTTTGTTATGCAGCACCCAACATTAAGTGGTCCTCTATGAACAACACTTTGGGTTCCCCTGCTGTAAATACAACATTAATAGTGTGATCACTTAAAGCATAGAACTGCCTTGACAATAAATATCAAATTAATTTTAATTTGTTCTGACTTCCTGAAAAATATGTGGTCTATTATTTAAACAGCAAAGATGAGAGTTTGTAGTGAGCCTAAATCAGCTTTTCAATGCTATGTATGGAACCAATTATATGGAGAAGGGTTCAAGACCGTATGCAATTGTCCCACTATGCACTTTTCTCACTCGTCTTCAAAATCCCTGGGTCAGAATGCAAACTAGACAGGATTGTCCCAGGAATCCGGGAGCAATGCTGACTGGGAAAGCACCAGTTTGCACCTTGCCTGGGCAGCCTGTGTTGGTGGGGCCTGATTCATGGTTATCCACAGTCTGCAGAACCCAGGGGAACAACAGTGAAAAGAAGTCTAATCTACTTTTCTTTAAGGCCCAGGATGAGTCTTCCCTTCAGCTAAAATAGCCTTATGGGCCTAGTGGATTATTAACCATGGAAGAGATTACAAGGGCAACTATACTTATCCCACATCCATGCCTCAGTCTATCTCTGTATTTCTTTACAACAACAGCCTTGCCAATTGCTTTCCTGCAAACCTGCCCTTTATGGGCAAGGGCTTTGAAAAGGTGATGATGTTTGCCTGGTGCTATATTAGCTTCTAGAGATGGAAATGCCAAACTTAATTTAAGAGGCCTTGGTGTTTAGGACCATCTTTAGAGCCTTTCAAACTACATGTGTTAAATACCAGACAAACCTTATCATTTAATGTTGGTTACATCATTCTCCACCTTCCTCATACATGTTTGTGTTGTCTTACTATACAACCAAAATCATAAATTTAAGGAATATAGAGTGTATTTTTGCTTCATGGTTGCCCCGTACCTAGCACAGTAATGCCCTGATTCCTAAATTCCAAGGCATTTCTGTGATATAGACTATAAAATAATAACCTGTCAACCCAAGCGGCATTTGATTACATTCAGTTTTGAACCCCAGGCAGTCAGGTTTGTGTTGAGGGGAGGGGATAGCAATAATATTAGTTCTTGTGGTGATTTCCTTTGTGATTTCCTTTCGACCAAAAATTGCCAGGCGTCCACACTGATACAATTACATTCACCAGTGGCTGGATATTGTTGACTAGAAATGCTAGTTTGACACTAGAACTTGGAAGAGGTGCACATAATGGATCTCTGTCCATCTAGTCCACATGTAGTAATAATGTTAAGGAGACAAGCCAAAAAGTAGTCTTAGATATTTTGGAAGGTGTTAGTCAGAGTCTGTAGTTATTCTAAATACTCTGAGTTTCTGACAAATGTCAATGTTGTCTTGTGTCAGATTCAGTGTCTTAGTCCTACAGTATCAAAGTCAACCATTTTCTTCCCTGCAAAAAAGTTGCTAATGGCCTCTGTTTCCCAGGGAAAGGACAACTGAGTGTTAGAATGTACAGTGGTGAAGTCCATTTACACTGGAAAACAAAAACATATATTGCATGGTAGGTACCCTTTGAATAAATAATACATTGGCTGAAAATTGATTACTGAGCCCTCCCTATACCACAACAGACTTCACTGTACCCAGCGCATCATTTGGATGAAGGACACTGTATAACATGGATAAAAGTATTTCCATCATCTATAATATTATAATTTGAAAACAGAAATCCTATTGGGGTCCTGATTTTTAATTAGATCAATATCGTTAATCTAATACTCAACACACTCATTGCATTACAGTACCTGCCACGTGTAAAAAGGTCTGTAGTTTCCATGATTGCTAAAACTTCAAGGTAAGTGGGACAGCTCTCAGTACAGAACCACCATGGAAAATGCACGTGTTGTGAAAAGATGTCACAACTGTGGGTGCTGGTGAATTTGCAGGGCCTCTCCCCAAGCAACTTAGAAAGCCTGTTTTTTCTCCTAGCTCTGCTGTCTACATCATGACAAGGAGAGGGTGGGGCTGCTTTTCCAAATTTACTATTTACAACTAAAAGGGACAAAGTCCATGGGAACTACCAAAAAGGCAACAGAGACAATGAAACTTGGCCACAGGCAGAAGTTGATTACCCCCTTCTAGCTAAGCTACAAATTGAATCCAGTGACAGCAAGCCTGAATTATCTAACCTCAGCAACATTGTTTAGGAGTGAAATCAGACAAAAGAAAGGCTTCACTAGATACCAAAGAAAAAGAATGCTAGTTGTAGTCGCACAGAAATGTTTTTAAAGTATGTGTTTGCTGTACATATCATGTGCCTGACATACTTACTGAAGAAATACTGTTGATGTTGTTAAACTCCATATACCTGCGCTGAAATTGTTCTAAGCTTGCATGTTTTCCTCTTGAACCTGCAATGCATTGGCCTCCTTGCCTTGAGTGACTGTGTAAGTCAAGTGTAGAGGAGTTGATCTTTTAAATATAATAAATACGATGGTAATTTTGAATCCGATACTAGGATAAGGTTGAATAGCAAAGGTAACAGGTGTAAGCATATGCACTTTAGCCTATTTTAATGTGCATTAAGTAAATAGCACTTTTTTAGTAATGCATTAATACACATTAAAATAGGCTAATGGGCATTAAAGTACATGTGTAGATGCACCTGCAGTTTGCTCCAAGGTAGATAAACAGCAAGTAACTTTTGTATTGTGTGGTGCAATTATAGTATGAATAGTATGTAATAATAAGCAGGAGTTTACAAGAGCTTCTAAGAATGATAGCAAAAGAAGTAAGTGGAGAGAGGAAAGGCAAGGAGGAATAAGAAAAAAGAGGTAAGGGCAAAATAGATGGAAGCAAAAGAGGAAGAAGAAAACAAATGAAAAAAATAGCCAGCGGATATCAGGAGGAAGATACCATTAGAACTTATCAGGAGAAGGTAGCTGGAAGTATTTGTCACTTCTAGATGCAGATAGTTGCCTCTCTCAATTGTAGCGGCATCCCATGAGCTATTCCTCTCCCATATCAGTTCTCCTCTGCCTGAAAAATAATCCGTGTTCAGCTTCCATTCTGCTGATACAGAATGGGGAGAGATGCTAATCAGTGACGGGAAAAATTATGTGGGCAGCCACATACATCATTTGTGGAGTTGGTATGAAGAAGCAGGAAAATGGGGGTAGTGACAGGGAAATGAGCAAAGAGTTTGAATGGAACTCGAAAAGGACCACGAGAGGTGCAGGTAAAGGCTTGAATGTGACAGAAAAGAGGGAAGATGTGCTTATTGTAACTTACAACTTGAAATAGTTTTCTCACTGTAAACTTGCTTATATGTTTATCTGAATTATCTTTTGAGACTACAGGCTTCTTGAAGCAGGGAATGTTTTCAATTCTTTTTTCATACTTTGAGTGAGTTTGAGAAAAGCCTTTATTTACTTTTGGAATGTAATGGTAATAATAACAACATCTCTCCTATTCTGCAAGTATCTTCAGCCCCATATCAAACCTGGCAGGTAAAAGAAAAGTCCAAACTGCCCCGGGTGCCCCCATTCCCCATATACATTTGCTTTCAAGTGGATTTTCTTTTCCCGTCACAGAACTAATTCAGAAAAAAACCTGGAACTAACAAACACACTGGACTTTACTGCAAGACTATCTCATTTTGAGTACTTTCCTCCAAGCACTGTTTATCTATCCTGGGGCAAACTGCATATGGGCACTATGGGTGCATCTACACATGCACTTCAATGTGCATTAGCCTATTTTAATGTGCCTTAATGTATCACTAAAAAACAATGATGCACCTGGATCTGGCATAGTGCCTAGGGTTGCCAACCCTGCCAGATTGGCCTGGAGTCTACCAGAATCGGCATCAATCTCCCGGTGACTATTGAAAGCAATCTGGGAGACTGATACTATGAATGGGATGGACAGTACAATTAATGACATTACGTCATATTGGGGGAAAATAATCTCCTGGAATAGCTTTAGTTAGAGTTGGCAACCCTAGTAGCACTAGGCATGTCAATTTATGTGCTCCAGCAGACTCGATTAATCAAGCCTGCTCCAACATGCTGGATTTCCAGCAGACTTGCCGCATGTGCGTAAATGCCCAAAGGTACAAGATTTAATGCGCATTAACTAATGCACATGTAGACACCTCCCCGAACAGTAGGACTGGCTGAGTCCTGCGTCCTGCTCGGAGGAGTAGCAGTATTCTTGCCTACCCCTGGCTGGGTGCCAGCCTGCTTGCTTTGCTTTGGTGCCCCAGCACAGCTGGGTCCTGTTAAGAGAGCAGAGGGGGGCTCAGGCAGGGTGCCACGGGCAGAGCAGCCCGGAGCTCTCTCCCACACCCGGCAGCTGCTCTGCTCTTCTCGTGCAGCCCAGGGTCCGCCTGGAGGTGGCCCCGCGGGGCACGAGGTGTTGCCGCCCCGAGACCGGGCGGCGGTGGCGGCGGCGGCGGAGCGCTCCAGGGGCAGGAAGGAGGAGGGGAAAGGGGGGCCGGAGCCACATCCAGTCCCCGCTCGCGGAGGGACGTGTCCAAGCCCAGCCCCTCGCAGCAGCCCGGCCGCGGGGCTCTTTGTTGGCGGGCGGGGGCCGCGCACCATGAGCTCCCCCAAGAGGGGCTTCTACCGCCAGGAGCTGACCAAGACGCTGTGGGAGGTGCGGGAGCGCTACCGGGACCTGCAGCCCGTGGGGGCCGGAGCCTACGGCGCCGTGTGGTGAGCGGCTTCCCTCGCTTTGTTCCCTCCCTGCCGCCCGCGGGGCCGCAGGCGCCACTCCCGGCTCAGACCCCGAGGAGTCCCCGCGGCCGCCTCGTGCATGCAGCACTTTGTAAGAGCCGTCCCGCGGGGCAAAACCCGAGTGCAGACGAGAGCGGGCGTTTCCCGAGGGGGAAACCGGGACCTGCAGCTCTAGACCCCGTCCAAGAGCTGTTTCCTGAGGCAGCCGGCGGCCGCTCAGCCCCTTGCTTGCTGGCGCCCCGCAGCTCTGCTCCTCCGCCCTGCTCTGGGGCTGAGTTTTGTGCAAAACCTTCTTTTCTCTTATAACTTCTCAGGGCGTCTTTGTGGTAGTGAGGCCTGGCTGGTGGCCCTGTGGCTGGATAGCTATGCTATCAGGAAGGCCCTTCCAACCCTGCAATTCTGCGCAGCTCCTTTATGCCACATCTTACCTGGCTAGGATGGATGATCTTTTTTTAGGAGATAATTATTCAGTTGTTCCTCTCTTTCTCTACCAGAAAGTCTCGCTTAGTCGGATGCAGCCTAGTGGAATTCGGATGTGTCCCTGTTTCTCTTTCCCAGGTGTAGCCTTTCACAACTTTTGATATTGGCCTCTGTTCACCTGGCGATCCTTTACAGTTAGTGCACATAGACTCAACATCCTGCTGATGAGGTTCTCTGGGGGGAATTAGCTCATGATCTCTATCTTATAGTGCAGTACGTTACAGCGAAGAGGGTATGTGGCTTTTCATCTGTCCAGTGTAGTGGCAGGGCCAAGCAGATGGTCCGTACCAGAACTCTCTGACTTCTCATCCACTGTTCAGTTTACTGTAGCTGATGAGTCTTTCAATATTACTTGGGACCTCACTCACAAACTCTTTGTGTTCCCTTTAAGCTCCGCTATTGATGGAAGAAATGGCACCAAAGTGGCTATCAAGAAACTGTATCGCCCGTTTCAGTCTGAACTCTTTGCCAAGCGAGCCTACCGGGAACTGCGCCTTCTGAAACACATGAAGCATGAAAATGTGAGTTCGGTCGCTAGTAAATCCCCTCAAGGCTGTAGCTTGCACTACAACATACACTGCCTGGTCTGCTGCTTCCACAGCAGAATTAGTTGGCTAAGGTAGATATGCTATTACATAGAGCTACTTAGCAATTTTACAACAACATACTTGTTTTGTCTGAAAATGCTGACCAGTCTAACTAAAACGTTTTGTGGGAATACACCAGACGCTGCTTGGAATGGGTTTCTCAAGGCCATAATGGTTTTCGTTTTGTTTTTTTAACAAGAAAACAGAGAGTGGGAGAGAGACCAGAAACTTGAACCATGGTCTTCTACATCCCACGTAAGAGGTCCCAACTGTCAGGTTATTGTCTGTTCTGTTTTTGGTGGATACTGTAACTTCCCTCATTGGAGCTTTTCCTCTGTATGTAAATATTATTTGCTGTCTGTCTTGGGGGGTGGGAGGGAGGGAGAGACTAACTGACTGCATAAATACTGTTCATTTTGCCAGAAAGATATACTGCAGCCCAGTGCTCAGGCCACCAACCTGGGATATGCCAAATGAAGCGTCATGCCCTTGCTTCAGTGAATGTTTAATTAGTTAAAAGTTCATTAGAGCAGGATGTTGGCTTTGGCATGTTCCTTGGCTTTGGTATGATACCCTGGCCACTAAAATCTGAGCCTCTGGCATAATGAATAATATTTACAAAATGAAAGAGCTCTTACAGGACACATGGAGAGACTGACTCTGTAGTGCTGTGGCTGGGGTATTCATTCCGGACATGGGAGACCAGCGGGGTCTCCAGCAGCTGGGACTTGAATCTAAGGCTTTCACATTCCTGGGGAGAGCTCTTTCCACAGTGCTGTTGCCTATACTCCCTCTCTCGCTTTCCACTGTACTATTGTCTATTCATATCTTTCTCTCATTCCAGTATGGAATGGGAAAGCTATTGAAATAACAAAACCTTTTGTTGGACTGGAAAAGTATTTCCTGCCCAGTACTATGTGTGAATGAATTAGATTCCATTTGGGGAGGTATATAATTGAGAAGATATAATTTTGTGGAAGAGGAGGACCCATCAATAAAGGTGTTGAAAGCATGATCAGAGAAATCAGAAGCAGGAAAGGAAATTTTAATTTCTACGCAAATATGATCAACAGGCACAAAAATCAAGGCAAGTCATAAATTACAGACATTGGATTTTAGCTAGGAAGAGATTATTGGAGACTTGACTAACAGCAGCTTACAAGGAACACAAGGGGACAGGCAGACTACAAGGGTATTGGAGCTGAAAGAGGCTCAAGGTAATAGCCATACATTCCGTGAGTTTAGAAGTGAAAAGGGGGACAGTGTGTTGAGAGAAACATTTCTTAAAATTGTGGAGGTCGGATCATGCTTGTGACTTGAGAGGAACAGATTTTTTAAACCAAGGGCTGGCAAGGGAAGCTAGTCATTTGCAATATTGAAACCTTGTAATTCACATGCATGGCATTAAAACTTAGGCAGCATCATCAATATCTGGTTTCAGTTTGAAAGTAACCTCTGAAATACCTTAACTACACATTAAGCTTACACTCCCACCACTGTCCCTCAAGTATTTTATTCTTAAATATTCTTTATCAATTTCTGATTCTTTTCTTTTCCCACTCCCCTTGTGTTCAATTACTGGTAATTGGCATTGTATGTGTTCTGAAACGCAGAGTCACACTGCTTCTCAGGCCTTTGTGCTTGGATCATTCCCAAAGCTCTCAGACTGAATGTTTGGGATGTCATCAATTCTTGCAGTTACCAAACATCTAACTGTATGTCATTGTAGGGTGACTTTGCTGTTTCGAAGAGAAATCTGTTCCTCAGTTGGCTAGCATATTTCTCTGTTGTCTTGTGCTGAATCTGCCCTTCAGCGCAATATTATGGACCTCTTCCATGTATTTACTCGATAATTAAAGAGTCTAAAAGAGAGCAGGCTCTAGAGGATGTAATTTCAATCCATAAATGCTGAAGAATAATTATATATGATGGAAAAGAGTAATTTATAGTCACAGGAGGGAAAACAAGTATCAAAGGAAAGAAGGGTTCAGGCCCCATATTAAGGAAACGTTTGTAACAAGTGAATTAAATTTATCCCTTCTGGAATAAAGCCTGAATAGTGGAGTATGGGGAGGTGAAAATTAGCCACTCTGCCCACTCAGGATAGCTAGCATACCCCTTGGGCAGGATTCCTAGCCACTGGACCCAGTGTCCCCCCTATGGCACTTCTGCCTACCTGTTAGGAAGAGGTAGTAGTTCTTCTAGCTACTCCTCTTCTTTTCATTGTCTTGCTATAGGGTGTTTTCTGCCTCTCTTCTAGCTGTTTCTGAATGTCCGAAAGAACCATTTAAACTAGTAGTAGTGTTGACATCTAGCTAGATTTTCTAGCTTATCTATTAATTTGAAAAGACTGGAAACTAAGCTGATATAGCATATTGCTGAGGTCAAACCACCAGTTCATGTAGAAAATTATATTATTTTCCAGTGGG